ATTTGCTTTCTTGCTGGAGTTTGATAAGAAAACCAAAGCCGCTCTCATACATGTAGACATGTGCAGTTAACTTAGCTTAGCCTAAAGACTGGAAGCAGGGGGAAACTGCGAGTCTAACTCTGTCCACAGTTGACAAAATCCACCCATCACTATCTGTGAATGCCACATTTACAATATGTAAGAGAGAGCTATGAAGGATTAAAAAAAACAAGACTACAGTAAATAGCACTGCTACTGCAAGTGATGCAAGAGGGGAATGCTGCTAATCTTGAAGCTTGAAGCTTGAAATACACATTCTGAGACATGTGGGACTAATCTTAACTGATAAAAAAAAGGTTATAATATGGGATCTTTAAGGGGATAAAAAAACATTAAAATTCAGTAATTGTTGAGCTGTGGCGTTCCATGCAATAGTCCTTTAAAGTTACGCTGTGGAGGATTGGCCCACTAGACGCGCAAGTGTAAATGCAAATCCTTTTCTTCTTTGTATCTTCATTTTAATTGTGGTTGTTTACAAGACAAGCGTTCACATTTATCAAAGTGCAGCTGTGAATTATTCCTGTGTCCTAGCCACAACAATGCGAACATTTTTTGATCCTGCACCACAGTTCACTTGACAGAAACCTGGTCCTTGTCTGTATCAACGAGGTTACACGATGTGCTGTAACTTCATATGACCCTCACCCTTTGTTCAGACACAACCTGATGAAATATGGGGAGAAAATTCCTGAGCTCGACGTGTAAATGAATGACTTTGATAGCTGGGGCAAAAATGAGTGCAGCAGCTGTGGGAGCAGTAAATCCAGCTGATGTTACAGATGTGACACTTTGGCACTTGATGACTTACTGTGCAGGTAATAGATTGTCTGTACTTGAGCCACAGAAGGTGAGGGGGGTCAGCGGTAGTGAGAGACTGAACAGCCTGTCATAAGGCCTGCATTTCTGATGGAGGTAAACTACACATTTTGTTGCCTCGTTAGTCGCTCTTGCATAAAAACGTTTCTGTGCACTTTCCAATTTATTCATTCAAACGTCATACAGTGACGGTTCCATACTTGAGTGACTGGTTCTTGTCCTTGGTCTTGTGCTCCACCACCATCTTGCCGCACTGACCCACTGTAAAGGCGAAGGTGCCATGGACATGCTGAGGATAACGCAGCTTGTGAACATGCTTCCTGAAAACCTCAGCCAGGTCTGACGCGACCTCCTCATCAAACGCAATCTTCATTAGCTGCAGACACAGAGACAAATATATTCTGCTATTTCAGATTTCCACAATTCACTGAGAGCTTATGGGTGGCTTTCACTGCAGGACCTTGGCAAGGTGACGTGAACATCTAGTATGGGCCTCTTCTTGGCCCTCCAGATTATTCTGTTTCCTCTGTGGTGTACAATCTGACAATATGAACTCTAAAGCTAAAATAACAAGAATGTTTTATATTTGTGTTAAAGATGAGAATGTTTAAGAGGAGAAGACTGCTGCTTGTTGTGGTGCTAGTTGTCCTCTCTGAGTTTAACCAATCAGCATTTGTCTTGTTCAAATGTATACAATTAGTGTCAAGACCTGCACAGCAGTTTTTCAGGGCCGCTTAGTCATATCATAGTAGGTACTTTAATCTCCACTCAAAACAGCCCTGGAAAAGGTTCTACAGGGGTGGTTCTTGTGGTCAGAACCCACACAAAGGTTTGGGCCGCCCTAAAACAGACTACAGGTTCCTCCAGTGGAAAGCAGCCTCATCAGCATGATTAGATATAACTTTATTGATCTACAGAAGAGTACCTGGAAGGTGCAGGATCGTAGCTGGAGCCCCTCTTGGACAAACTGATCCATGGTTAATGTGACTGAGATCCTCTTCTCCTTGGTCAGAGAGGCGATGGGGAAGGAGCGAGTCACGACCTGCTCACCCACTGCACCAGGAAAACACACAGACAGTCAACAAAACAATGTGACCAATAAACTCAAAGCCCCACAGGTTTTTGTGTTGTTGTTTGCATGTGTCATCTCTCACCCAGCGGGTCGGTTGGTGTGCCCTTGAAAATGAGGCGGTAGGTGGTGAGAAAGATGGCGCCCTCGGCGGGAAGTAGAGGTGGACCTCCCATCAGCCCTGTGGCCTCCTCGCGACCATCAGGGATCAGGTGCACCCGCATACCCTCCATCACCAGCTCCTCACCAGGCAACAGGGTCGGCCTCAGCAGCTTGGGCTGCTCAGACACATGAAGAGAGAGCCAGGGGATTAATGACGCAACATGAAACAGGCCAGCTTACACTTATTTGTCAGACTTCCTCTTAGTCTTTGCTTTTTCCTTACTTTATAGTTTAACACTTTTTTTTTTTTTTTTTAGTTCTTTGGATCTTTAAAAAATGTTCAAATAAAACAGCCTTCAAAACTGGACATGGCTTTTTATTAAGTGGTCATTCATGAACAAGAACCAGCTGCTCCAAAGTTCCTGATATTCCAGTAGGAATTCAAGTTAGTCATCATGGGTCAATAATTATAAAAAGGCTACAGCAGGAAAACACTAAAGTCATCATTTTGCTGTTGTACACCACAGCAGTTAACAATGTTTATGTACCTACATCTACTGCAAACAATTACCTAATGATCATAATCCTGTTGCTGTGAAATGACAACAGTCACTCCAACCATCAGAATCTCATGCTTTCACAACCATGCTGATGTTACTGACTGGGTGACCTGCACTGGTCGGGGAGTTGGACACAAGAGAAAATTAGAGGCTAATGTTTAAATAACTGTATTATTGTTGCAAAACACACACGTCAATCAGGCTGAATTGGTGGGATCTTGGCAGGGATGAACAAGACAAATATACAGAGAGAATCATATACTAACACTGGCTTGGATGTGTTTATATAATGTGATGTTCATTTCATATTTCCTAGAAAATACAGGGACTCAAGTGTTTTGTGGAGTCCCCGAGTGCAAAGTTAAATTTTTAGAACTGTCATTTTCTGACTGGGGGCCTCAGTGGGTTGACAGCTGAACTTTTCTAAAAATGAACAGTGAGCTGGCTTTGTCCTCAGGACCTGACATCACTTCCTAACAAACTTCACCACTCATAGGAAGTGAATTACAACTTCGGCAATCTGTTTCATAATCTGTTGCACAACACCTAATGCCACAAATGACCGCATTCCTGCAGTCGCACAGCAAAAACAGAGCAGTTTCCTCTGCAGACACTTAACTATTGGAACCCCAGCAACTGTAAATTATGTTCTCTGCTCTGCCCACAATCACATTTTCACAAGCTAAACTTGCGTGTTACAAAACTAAATGCTGACAGGACATTGTGGGAGCAGTGTCAGGGAGCAGATGGAGAGGATCCTGCTCACATGGTTGTGGAGCCAAGCAGCCGCATGTTCCAGCTACAAGTCTTTACTGAAATGACAACACATGGAGCTCAGCGTAGCCACCATCCCTCTCCAACACACTGCACGCAGGACAACTTGCACCCTTCAGACTGAAGGCACTCCACTCTGGAGGAGCTCAGAGAGCTGCGGCAGCCAGGCCGAGTTCCACCAACCTCAGAGACCAAACAGCACAACAACAATCACCCAGCATGCACCGCTCAGGCGTGCTGTGAGTCACACGGTTCTGTGTCTGGTGGACAGACGTACCTGCCATGACACTGTGAGCCTGAGCTGTAGGGATTGGTGGAGAGGGGAGTGGGCGGGGCTGGCTGGGGGTCTGCATGGCCTTTGTCCAGTGGGACATAAAAATAGGAATTGGTTACCTTTTGGATCGGAGGTAATCTCTTACTCTCCCTGTGGACTGCGTCTAACGTCTCGATGTGCATCTGAACAATATCTGCAAAGAAACAAAAACAGAGATGAGGGCAGAGAACAGAAAGGAGACCTTTCTCTGAATTTTGCTGTGATGTGACGGCAACACCTCTTAGAGCTTCTCTACCTGGTATCATGGTGTGGAGAGCCTTAAGGTGCTCGTTCGTCACGCCGCTCTCATTGCACACTTTATCTACGAAGCGGTTGATAAAGCGCACAACAGAGTTGGCCACATCGGAGCTCTCAGCGTCTTCAAAGCCACTCTCTGTGTCGTAGCTCTCTGCCATGCTGCCTGCAATACTGCAAGACAACAAAATACTGCTTGGAACATCTATGTTTCTAAATTCAAAAAGCAAAAACTTTAGAGATATTGAACAGTACAAAACAAAACAGGGTCTGAGCTCAGCATCTCTGTAACCTTTACCAACAGTGCTAGGATGGTATTATTGTTGCATCTAGCCGTGACACAGTGACATTAATCCCTGTTTTTGTTTTTTAAGTATAGAAAAATGTCTACACTATTTTACTGCAATGGCAACATCCTCAGCTTGAATACTGAATGGGAACTTTTGTTGAATACAGTTTCTTCTCTCCTCTCTCCTGTCTTCCCCTGAATTAAGGCAAATAGGCAAATAAGATTGGTGTGTATCAACTGCTCACGTTCATTCCATCTTTAGTGACTACTGCTACTGGATAAAATTCTGCATTTAACAAATGCTGACATTATGTAACCTACAGTCTAAAATCATCAAGATATGTGTGGCATGTTTTCAAAAATCATGTTATTCTACAGGTATAACTTAGAAATTTACCCAAAATAAACTGTTTGCTCCAATCACATTCTGTAAAAAGCAACAAAATCTGCACTCCCAAACATAACCGAGATCCCAAGATTCACTAAGCTGTGACCGCTCGTCATCGTTAAAAATTGTGTAAAAAATTCAGCTGAACTTCAAGTTGTGGAATGATAGACAGCAAAATAAAACACACCTGATCAATACAATAAAAGCAGCATAGTTGACAGACGGCACACAGAGGAGCAAGGTGTCACCGAGTTGTTGAAAGATACATTTAGTATGCTGAACTAACTATCTAGAATTGATGTATAGAGGAATGTGTATGAACGCCTAGTTTGTAGAGGCTGCAAATATATTTGTGATTCCTTTAAATCCCCACGCTTGTGGATAGCTGTGTCTACCTGTTTGTGACGTAGCTGTTGCTGACGCTCTCCACATCTCCAAGGCCGGAGCTCCTCAGCAGCCGGTTCTTGCTGGTGTCCAGCGGCAGCAGCAGGTAGCTCATCCTGTTGGCGTAGTGGATGGCCTGGCTGAACACGGTGCTCTCCTCCTTCTGCACGCGCTCCGTCTGCATTTCCTTGCTGAGGGTCGGCCACAGGCGGCTCTGCTCTGACGCCAGCTCCAGGGCACTGATTTCTCTTCCGCTGCCTGACCCGTCCTGCTGCTCCTGAGATCAAATCAAAGGAGCCTCATTAATGATGAAAGACTTCAAAACAAACGTGACACTCTGCTCAGCAGGTGAGGAGACTGACTCCTACTTGCTGCATTGGCAGATTCCTCCTAAAAATTCACCAAGACTATCATTTACATCTTTTGTGTTTAGCCAGATAATAGCGTGAGAGCTGTGCGGGTGTTCACCAAGTTGTTCTGCTGCTCTCCGTTCTCTGTCTCCAGGTAAAGAGCCCTGATGTGGTTCTGGACGTCGCTGTAGAACATGGCCTCCCAGAACTGCATGTTGGTCCACACCATGTGCTCCTGTACGCAGCTGTAGGCAAACTGAGTGATACCTGCTCCCATTTTCTGTCAAAGACAAAGACAAAGACATTGTGAGATATTCATGAAGGAGATGAGTCACTTTACATGTCTTAAGATTGAGAACAGGGTGAAGCACATTCAGAAGAGCCCAGTGAAAGACATCCCACCAAAAGCTATAACTCAAGTTTTTTCACTCATTAAATCATTAAATCACAAAGAACACTGGATTTTTTTTTACTGGATTGGGGTGACTGATAGCTGAATCGGTAAAATGTGGAGTGATTTTGGTAATGTTGGTTATATGCTTACTCTGCAGAATGCTGTGACCAGGGGAAGGAGGGCAGCTGCAATACCATGTTCATCCATATGAGAACAGTCCTGAATAAAAAACAGATGAGCCATTAAGGACATACTTGCAAAAAATCAAACAAGACGTGTATAAAAATCAAAGAACTGAATCTATCTGTAATAAGGCTTCATATGAGAGATCCTAATTGTTTGCAGTTATTCCTTTACTTTCAACAGAGTAAAAATTAAATTACAGAAGTTACATTTTCAGCCTTTAAAGTTTTCTCAGAGTGAACAGAAACGAAGGACTCCTCATGAGAAGCAAACTAAACCCCTTTGAGGGTTCTAGATGTCTAATTTTGGGGTGGTTTAGTGTGTGCAGGCTCACCTGTAAGGTACAGTTCATCATGCGAACAATGTAGTCAAACTGTTGGTCATCCAGCACAGCTCGGTTCTGTAGGACATGTTGATTGAGCTCTTGGGTCAAACAAACCCTGGCTGCCCGACCCTTCAATGCCCTCAGTACAGCTGGCATCAACTGGACAGAGGAGATAAGAAAAAAAAACACATTCAACACAAAAAACTCACAAATGCAATACAAAAGTAAAACATGCTGCACTGTTGCAGCACATTTATTATTTATTATGTATCTAGATGTATTGTGTTTCAAATATTTCAAGCAAAAAATGTGAAAATAGGAAGGTCTTCTAAAGTGCCCGGCCAGCTTGGTCATGCAGAGATGTGTCTTTCTTACCTTCTTGGCCTCCAGCATTTTGTTCTCAAAGATGTATGTGATGCAGTTCCTGACCACCTCCAGCCTGCGGGCGCTGTTAGCCATCACGTTGCCATTCCTGTCCACAATATCTCCTGTGGAGACGGAAGAGGTATCAGACACTCATTCATCACTGCAGCACTGACCTCAACCCCATTAAACTCACACTGAGACAATCTGTCTGAAGTGGAAAGTTCACTCAGGAAGTTTGAGGTGCAAGTGCAGCGCTGTTGAACTTGGTGTTAATATTTTCAAACCCAACACCCGCAAGCATGACAACAATTACCAGGTGTTTGTCGCCTTCTGTCTAACCACTGTTCCAACCACATGCCTTTTCCAGCCTTCATATTTTGCCAGATTCACAGATTTATAAAGTGCTATATTCCCTTTGTATAATGTATATTTACAGACTTTCCAGTTTTAGATTAAGTTGTGAGTTTTGGGCCAGTGTCATGTAACTTTTTGAACTTAAAAACTGTTAAGAACAGCACTAGCAGCTGACCGCTGTTTCTGTTCCTTCCCCAGCTCACCCAGTGGAGGCCCGGATGGCACCATGCCCTTCAGCTCTGCCTTGACCACAGGAGGTGCAGTCTTGAGCTTGGCAGCAGCGTGATCGATGAAGAGCTGCACCGCAACATCGTCCAGCCCAGGAAAGGGTGTCTGATTCTGCGCAGAGTTCTGGCTGTTTTCTGATGGTCGCTGGACTTTGTGCATGGCCACAGCAGGGTAGGGGTTCTCCTGGAGGAAGGGAAAGAAAGTGATGGAGAGAGAAAATTATAAGAATGGAAGAGAAAACAACAGGAGTAATAGCAGCAGAATAAAGACTAAGTAGAGGATATAACATAATGCAATAATAAAATGATAATAATACATCAGAAAACATACATTTTTGAAGAGTTGCTCGGCGAGCTCCTTAACGTGGTTCATGACTTTGTGTGGACAGGCCTCTTCTTGTCGTATCCGCTCCACCTCATTGGCTACCAGCTGTGGAAACAGGACAGAGTAGTAACTTTGTCAATTCAGCATCTTTCTTTCATTAAGCCACATATGCTTAGGTTCCACAAGTGGTAAAGAGATGATTGCTTATTTTTTTTATTTTAAAACTTGCAATTAACAAATGAACACGAGACCAAAACAAAAAGCCTTAGTGCAGATGATGACCGAGATTTAAAATTAAAAATATTTTCACTCAGTTCTAATATTAAAGGTATCCTGTGGCATTTTAACCTCCACTAGTGCAATGAGGCATTGTTTTCATAAGCAGGAGCAACTACTGATTATTTTCATTATTATTTGATTTGTCAGTTATTGTTTCAATTATTCATTATGTTTATGAAAAGACAGCAAATAGTGAAAAATGCTTGTTATAATTTCCCACCAACCAAAGTGGACATTCTCAAATTTTAGGTTTTGTTTGACCAACAATCCAAGTCCAAATATATTTACTTTACCATCATGTTTGACAAATAAAAGAATGAAATCCTCAAATTTGAGAAGCTAGAAACAGCATCACATAGCTTTTCCCAAAAATATCTGGCAATCAAAATATCTGCACATTGATTTTCGGTCAATCAGTATAATCAGCTAATCCTTGCACCATAAATACATTCATACTGATACTTTCACACTACTTTTCTGATCAACATTTGGTTGCGGCAATGAGACAAAAGTAAGGAAAAAGGCTGCTGAACAGCAAACATGAACATAAACAATGCAGATTTTAACATAAAAACTGTCTTTACAAATGCTTAATTAGAAAGGAAATGCAGTCTGATCATTTATTAGACGTAAGGAGCAGATATTCACAAGACGCGCAGGACTCCAAATGTAAACAGAGGTTTGTTCATTTATGAGGAAAAGTGAAGAAAGTATCTTTAAAATGTATCTTGGTTTTTCAGTTATTATTGCAGACTGCACCTGATTCCACAAAACTGAAGATGAAACAGACCAAGGTTTTGGTCAACAATTCCATGTTATCATATTTTTGAATGAATTTTTTTCATGAAAATGTCACAACCCAAGAAGTAAAATATGGACAGGTTGTTGACACGTTTGTGTCTTTTCACGACAACTGAGGCCGTAAACCCTGGCAATCATCTAACCACAAGCTAGTAAGCATTGTCACAAACAGTGCTTACTCTGAGCTACAGGTCTACAGGCTACAAGTTGTTACCTAGCAGGTAGCAGGTATCACATTTGGCAGATAAAACTGTCATAGAGACTCATGCTGCTCAACCAAACTAGCTTTCTCTGCCGTCCTTAGTCCAGTGACCTTCAACTAATAGGTCAACACGCACAAAAACAGCGAATTGATGCATATTGTGCTGAGAGACTCACATCGTCAAACAGGTCGGTGGCTCTGTAGGGAGGGCCCCTCTCCGACACAAAGCCTGCGAACGCCATGCCGTCCAACACCTTCATGAGGAAGTCATCCTCAGACAGTGCTCTCTGGCCCAGGAAGGCAGCCTGTAGGAACACATCATCAATAATCTCATCACACTCGCTCACGTTCTCTTTTCCTTTCTTTTTAATTAAGTTTTGCTCATTAAAGCAAACCAATTCCGAGTCATATTTACAGTGTACTGGTGTACCTTATGGAAACGGATCACAGGTTCGGGGTGAATGCGAATGATATGTAAACACCAGCGGTAGCCCTGGAAGAGCCGAGCGAACAGCCATAGGAAGACACCTCGGATCTCCTTGTCCTGAAACCCAAGCACATACACAAAAAGTGATCAAGGTGGGAGAGTGTGGAAAGTTTCGAGAAGTCTAGACCTGCTCACTCTCAGACAAGATAAACCGGTTATTTTCTGACCTTTACCACCACAAGAAAAAAATACAAAACCTACTTGCTATTGAAGGCATTACACCTATAGGAGTAGTGATAAGATAAAACACTGTGCTGCTGTAAAAATGTACACTTTTCCTTATATTATTATTGAGGGCATGAAAAGTTTGTTTGTTTGTTTGACCCTGTGTCATGTCATTATGTTACTGACTGAACAGAATCTAGTATTTTTACGGAAGTACTGAGTGAAAGTACTCAAAACAGATGGCTGGAGCTACTTGAAATCAGATTCTCTGGTTAATATTTTGCAGAAAATATAAGTAAAAGGGTATAACAATATTACGACATAACAGCAGGGCGGCCCTGGTGGCCTTAGAGGCAAAGGTGTCTGTCATCCCTAATTCATGTCCAAGCCTGGACCTCTCATTTCATGTCTTCACTCTGCTGTTGCTGCACGATTAAAGCATATCCCCCTAAAGCAATGTAAAAAAGACTCTATGCTTTTCAAAATCATTACAACAGTTTCTTTCTTGCCTGGATCTTGAGTGCAGAAGGTGTCGTGGACTGTGGGGGGAAGGCATGATCAGCAATTTCCAGCTCCGGATCCAAAACCTGCAACACAAAGTCACCATCAATCAGTAGTGAGCACATCTCTCTGGCCTTCTGCTGCCACTTGTTCTTGCTGCATCGTTGGAATTTTAGGGAACTGAGCTAATCAAGAGTCAAAGATAACATTCCAGCAGAAACTTTGATTGTACTCAGAGTGACACACATTTTAAAATAACCGCCTACAAGAGAAAAGAGGTCACCTACAAATTTGTGTTTCTTCTGCATCCACATTTATGTTTTTTTCCCCATTTGGTGATATCAACAAGTTTGCAAACAAATTTCTTTGTCCACAATCAAACCATTTCTATACAAAAGAGTAAATGTCTTATTAGGTTTAGGGGTTTGGCTACTTTTGGCTATTCCTTGAACTAGTCACATGGTAGGTAGATAGGTAGGTAAGCTAGGCACAATAAAATCATAATATTTTATTAAAATAACTCTATTCTACATGCCTTAATTTTATATTCACAAAAATGTATATTTTGCTCCAGATTCTATAAAAAGACTAAAAAGTTCTGAGGTGCTCAGTGCACCCAACAAGCCAAGTATAATTCAGCTATGACTAACAGTCACAAGACAAAAATCGGAGACTTTTCGGCTAAACTGCAGATTGTGTTTACATAAAACAGAGGAGACAAAAATGGAAAGAAATGAAAAATGTAAGTTATATTATATCTATAGTATGTGGAGCCACCATTTACATTTGAAAAATACTGTACATGTTGACTCCATGTGTTTTATTTTTTTGTACAACACATAAAGAATTTTAACTTTCAATTTATTTTATTTTTATTTTTTTCAAGGTACATGAAATTACAAAAGCAATACACTGCATAAAAAGACATGTCTGAGTTCAGTCAGTGCAGTCACAGTCCATAGTGTGTAAAAATGTGGTGGGAGCAAAAATGTGCCTGTAAATTTCTTGGCATTTAGAGGGTTAATGTGTGTTAACCGTCTCTTCTTTAAATTTACGGTCACTTTTTGGCCAAAAGCTTGTAGAAAATTGGAAACAAGTGTGGACACAGACATAGTTTCATTGGCAACAGCCTCCAATCTACACATAATCTTCATTGGAAACAGTTTGTGGTCTCAGGGCCATTACGTGAAAATTCACCCAGCGAACTGGAAGGCGAGCAGAGCAGCTAAGCCCTGGTTTATGGTTGCTGTCCAACAATCTGCAGCATCGTCGTTCATGGATACCTTCATCCAAACCACATTTTCTGACAATTTAACAAATTAAAGTCGTGTTACACAAACCCCCGATCAGTCTCTAGTTCTGCTTTAATCTCCTCTTGTGTCTTATTTCAGTGAGGAAGAGGTCAGTCTGGCTGATTTGGGAGCTGATTTCACTTAAAGGGATATTTGGGTTTTGGGTTACAGTCATGATCCTCCAAGTTATCAACCTGGCCGTATGGATGATACTGCTGGGTGAGGACACAGTGGACCTCACTTTGGCCCATACAGAGCAACGACCACAAGCTTTGTAAAGCACACAGGGCAGCAAGGGACAGAAAAAGTCCCTTCCACAAAAACAAGAGGCAGAAGCCCCAGATTTCACAATAAAATCCTTTTCCTTTTTGTATGAAATCTATTTATTTTAGCCTTGACAACTTAAGTATTTGGCAGATGTCCTAAGTCAGTGGCTTCAAGTTCAGGGTCTTGTTGAGGATAGTTTGACACACAAAATCTGCTGTTGATTCAATGATACAATATTATTACTAGGACTGAACAACACAGAACAATGACCAGGTTTCACATGTTTCAGCCTATGACCCAAATGTCACATAAAACCCATCCATCCATCCATTTTCTATACACCGCTTAATCCTCATTAGGGTCGCGGGGGGCTGGAGCCTATCCCAGCCGACTTAGGGCGAAGGCAGGGGACACCCTGGACAGGTCGCCAGTCTATCGCAGGGCTACACTTAGAGACAGACAACCAAGCACACTCACATTCACACCTACGGACACCAATTAATTAATCACCAATTAACCTCAACATGTTTTTGGACTTGTGGGAGGAAGCCGGAGAACCCGGAGAGAACCCACGCTGCACGGGGAGAACATGCAAACTCCACGCAGAAAGATTCCGGTGCCCCCACCGGGACTTGAACCGGCAACCTTCTTGCTGCGAGTCAACAGTGCTACCAACTGCGCCACCTTGCAGCCCCACATAAAACCAAATTACAGTAAATTCTTACGTCAGAATGAACTCATGTAGGGGGTTTAATGCACTAAGTCACCGTGTCAGACATTAAAAAAAAGGACATCAGCATAGGTGAAAGCAGGAGATAACAATGCAATTCAAAGGCTATAATTAAATGCATTGATTAAAGAAGAACATCACAAGGTTGTGCATGAAGTACTGTGGCCAGATCTTGTTCTTGTGATAAGAGGGCAGACAGAGGGACCAGAGACCTATCAGAGGCTGAAGCAGGTTGCAGGTTGTTCTGAAGAAAGGTCTCTCAGAACACAACGTACTGATTGGACACAGCAGGAGATGAGAAAGTGATGGGAATGGGATGAGATTTCTGATATAAGGATCATGATGTCAGACATAGACTACAGTTCACTGCTCTATTATTGCTGTACTTGGGCTAGCACGGTTAAGTGTCACACTGGCCCAGAGTTTAAAGACATTCTCTGTGACTCAGCTATTTGTGACATACATCAATGAAGTGAGGGGAGCTTGACTCACCTTTTCCGAGCTTTCCCTGAAGCTCAGTTTTGTTTTGTTTTTTTCCCAAACCATGTTACCAAACAGAGGCCAAAGATTTAAAACTAATCCATTTTGAAAGCCCCTTGAAAGCAGCAGTAGATTAGATTACCACATCTGCCCAATGATGGCCTGGGTGGCATCTCGTGACAAAGTCCACGTCAGGACTTCATACAAAGAAAGCGTTTAAACAGCAGGGAAGTAATACAATTCAAAAGAAAAAAGGGCCTCTGAAAGGTTGACCCAACATGCATGTCGAATACCTGTGTGATATGTTCACCTTCTTTTCCTGTCTTTCTTTCTTTCTTTCTTTCTTTCTCTATATCATTTTTTCCTAAAGGGGTGAGGTCCTGATAAATGTATTATTTTACATTATATATTATGTTCAGTCGCACTGACATGTTTCAGTGCACCCTCTGAACTCTAACAAACTAAGCATGGAGAAAAATAATCCTGCAGTACTACAACGCAGATCAAATCTACCAGATACCTGAAGTGTTGACTCGATAGAAGCTCTGTCGTTTCACTGCTTTCTGACTGGAAAATATCTTAGGGTCAAATATAACAAATATAGTGAGAGTCAGTGGGAAGTTCCTGTTAAATTTAAAAATTCAGACTCTCCGCTATATCCCAACACACAGAATGCCAAGTCCAGCCATCCTCTAAATAAACACATTTAGCCCTTTGCCTCCTTGACATGATGGCTGCAAAAACTCCAACCTTGTGCAAGCAGCAGGGGAGAACTCTTCTCTGGTTTGTGCCAAGGCTGTCAATGTTCTAACATAAATAAATCAGTCTTTTTATACAGTGGGAATAATCAAATAAAACAGATCATCGTGTCTGACACATGACTGGAATCACAACATCAGCAAACCAAGCAGACTTTCCAGGAAGAGATTGACTTGGCGTCATTACACACAGTAGGAGGATTTTCCCACAACTGGCCAAGTGCAATCAAGATAAACATAAAAACTAAACTTCATATACAGATGGGATGATAATGTCTGTCATTAACCTTCTTTAAAGGTGTTTGATGCAGCTTATATAAGACATGCCGTGGGTGTCCTACAACAGAATACTTTATCCATTATGTGACACCTGTACATGCTGCACATAGACTTTATGATATCTAGATTTGTTTTGCCTTATTGTACTTTTGTATTTATTGTATTGCTTCTTCCATGCCTTCTTCATATCGAGCTGCTGTAACATGTAAATTTCCCCAGTTAAGAATCAATGAAGTTGTTCTCAAAAAAGTTGTTCTCATCTTTCCATGAGTCTTTTGAAGAGCAGAAGAACAGAGGTGAAAGAAGTACTCAGTAAATGTACAAATACAACAACCTCATTAAGCGTCAAAAATATAAATATACAAAGCATAGATTCTAAAGAAAGTTTGTGCTTGACAGAGATACTATGTAATGTGTGTGTGTGTGTGAGAGTGTGTGTATGACAGATGTCTATTGTGGATTTAGTGAAGGTTAATCAGCATTTTATGGGTGGAGCTGCCTACGTGCTTAATTACAAAAGGAAACAGGACGTAGTAACTAGTTTTGCAAATGAACTCTGATCTTTGCGTTTTTGACAAATAGATCATTTACATTGTTGAGGCCCACAATTAAACCTTTAACACGTGTTTTTATAAAGCTGTTTGTTGTTGTCTGTCATACTCTTTGTTGCTTTCAAAAGGTTCTTGTAGAAATGCAATGACAAATTAATATCCTTGATCCTTAAACCTTTACTATATGTCCTTCCCTGCGTATCTCGTGTCTTTCTCTGATGCTATTAAAACAATGGTTAAATTGCAAAAAATTAAGTTCTAAATTGTTAAAAAGGTCATTAGATTTTGTTCTTTTGCAATATTGCATCTATGTCGATCAATTACCTTTTTTTGACTATGACCACAAATAAATTCTCCCAAAAACTAACCTTATAGCAAAAAATACCTGAATGACGGTATTTGCGCCTTTTCAGTCATCATTTAGAAGACACAGCATAATCTGAACACTGCCATTTTACTCCATGTTTCTTTGCAAATCTGCTTAAAAGTGCTGTTAAGTAGCCCTGAAATTGTAAGTGAGCCAAAACTCTGCAGCATATTCATTTCAGTTTGGATCATTCCACTGTAACTTTGGTTTTCTGCCTGGGCTTGTCATGCTGGAAAGCACCTGTTCAGTTTCTCTGTACTTTTGTTTTCATTTTTGCACATATCAGAGTTTTTGCTGTGAATCAGTGTCAAATCTCCTATTATATCCACGGACGTACAATGCAGGAAAAAATGTGAAAAGGGAGTGAATACATTTTATGACTGCTGTATAATTCTGTACAAACACTTGAGGTAATTTACAAACAGTGTTATATTTAGGAGTTTGTGCAGCAGACTGTTTACAGCTTAACAGTCCAAGAGTCTGCAGAGCAGTGTGATAGCTGAGTGGATTACTGGAGGGGCGCGTCTGGGATATTAAATCAAACAAGCTTCAGGCAAGCCCAGAACAGTATTTTGTGATAACACACTATCACGTGACTGTAATCTTAACAGTTTACATCATATCTAGTAAATTTATCATAAACTGGAAGCAATTTCCTGCAAATGTTTCCTTATCATCCACACACACAAGACATTTAATAAAATGACTGACAACAATTCTGACAGATTACAGCATCAAACCTTTGTTATGTAACATGAACACATAAAACGGTGTTAATAGACGGAAGCAGGAACAACATTTATGAATTCTGCAAATATCAATAAGAGAATAAGGAAGTCGAAATTTCATTTCTTTAAACACGTAAACAGACAAAAAGCATTTCTGAGAATGGGCGGGCACTGGAATACTGGAAGAGGCTACAGCTGCAGGATGCAGCTTGATATGAGCTGGCTTTATGTGCAGTGCCTTTCATTAAGACAACAGTGCAGCACAGAAATAGCACCTGATAACATGTGTTACTCCTTAAGCATGAGGGTGATATGTTCAAAACTTCTGCTGAGTTGGCAGCATCAAAGCAGCAAGTTAGAGTTATTATTTTAAACGTCCTTACCCCTGGCCATCATGTTTATAGAGTCAGAACTGTGATCGCTCTTAAAATTTGAACCTTCCGGATTGAATGTGGGGCTACTTTCTCTTCCTGACTGACTCAGTCGAGATCTGTCTGCCTGCACCTGAACACTTTTATCATCAGGTGTGTGGCACCTCTCCCTCTCCTCCTCTCACTTCGCTGTTTTAATCAGCTATATATTATTATCATTGGAACACGGTAACAGCAAAACTGACTGTTTAATCCGTCAGACAGAGAGAGACTGTGGAAGAAATATTACTATTTCCAACCACAATAACTTGTGCAGTAACAAAAAAACAAAACAAAACAAAAAAAAAAAACAGGTCCATGTTAAAACAATCGGTCAGCACATTCGTTCCACGTAGACGCCCCCCCGTCATGCCTCTGCGGCCCCCCAGGGCAGCGCCACACACTTTGAGAGACACTGCTCGACCTGAAGAGAAACTAAAACTGAAAATACAAAACACAAAAGGCTCTGTTCCTCATGGAAACTGTGTTAATGTGCTTGAAAGTACAGTCACAACAAGAGTAACTGTACTTTACTGAACCACAAATGGAATAATTCCAAAAAGCAGCACCAGGAAGTTACAAAGCAAATTCACTAATACTCTGTAATTACGTACAAATTGAATTTGTTGTGCTTATACACTTTGATTCTGTGATATTTAAAACTTCTGAGTTCACTACATTCCTGTGACATCCAAAATTACATGTTGCTTTTTTGTTTCAAGACCCCCCTGAGCTTTTTTAGACAGGAATGGATTATTTTCATGAAGAAAGATTCTAAATATGTAACTGAAAAAACAAGTCCACAAAACAGCCTCATAAAAATGAACTACACCAAAGCAAAAACTTAATTCTAAACAAGCAACACAAAGACATAAAACGGAAAAGAATCCTTGAAGAGGCTCCTGGTCTCTCTCGTCCCATAAAGCACTACCGGGGAATTTATTGCTGGGTAGAAACCACCCACTGGCTGTTAATGAGATTTCCCAGTATCCAGTAGCAGTGTGTATTATGGGTTTGGGTGTGTGCAGTGTTCAAGTTGCAGCTCTTACCATGGAGAGTGCAGTCTGGGTCTGCTGGAGGAGAGGTTCAGGCAGCAGGGAGATGTGGACACACTCAGGGATGGTGACCGTGCCTCCATCCAGGTCGGCGATGATCACATCCAACTGAAAACATGCCACATATGTAAACACGCTTGTCATCTCTGCTTCTGCAGCTGCTGATAAACACAGCACTGTGATACACAAGATGATTAGAGTGACTGAAAGACAAACGCAGAGACAGAGAGAGTTGTCTCTCTCAGCAGCTGCTCATTACTGCCTATCAAATGACAAAAAAAATGCACATTCACATTTGAGTGCAGCCAGACCGACAGAAAGGCTGCCCAGACGATAGCCTCTGACCCTGACCACTGCTCATATGCTGATAATGGCCGTGTGACTGCTGCACAAAACACAGCATTTCGTTGTAAGTTGAGATAATGGCTCCATGAGGACGGCGAGGCGAATGGAACCCAGCAGGACACGGTCAGACGCGTTTAACAGGCGCGTTCATTACACTCTCAACGGGCCTTAATAAGACAGCAGTACATTTTTTCCCTTGGTTATGAGATTCACTAATTATCGTCACACATATAGGCATAATTTCTCTTGGCAAGGTTTGTAAAGAGCATTGTACTAGAATGGCATGAACCTAAAGAGATTAGCAGGTAGCAAATAACCAGATGGCCAAAGAGGCAGTTTAATAAAAGATAGATGAACCATTGCTTAACGGATCAGGAAGAGTTTACGTACTCCCACTGTAATCAAAACTCAGATCCAGGTTGGAGTAGCTGAGGGTCAATTTCAGTATACAATATACATACATTTGAAAGTAGGCCTCCTCAGTGTGATATAAGAGCTTTCTGGTTGCTTCTCCAACATCACATGGATCACATTACTCTCCCACAGCTGGAAACCAGCAGCAGGTGTTCTTCTTGCACAGTGTTTTTTTGTTTGTTTGTTTGTTTATTTTTTATGATACTGCTTGTTTGTTTGCTGTTGATACAGGGAGTTATGTGAAGCTGGCGTTTTGCCCTCCAGCTGGCTGTGTGTTGCCAACATTTTCTGCTGCTTCAGGCAGCATCCCTGGTTGATCTCTCTCCCAAAGCTGTTTCATTATCACTTTCAGGAAGCGCTGCCAACGATCTCCCATAAAACAATTACAGTGGTGAATGAGAGACAATGCTGTTCTAATGCTGTTCGTTTTTAACTGCTTCCTGGTGAACTACTCCAGTTTGGTGGACATCAGTTACACACTTGCATACATGTATAAAAACAGTGCACACTCTTAAAACACTCAGATACCCATATTTACATTTAAAGTATTATTTATTTCTTCTGCCCATTCTGGTGCAGAAGACATCATTTCCTAATGTGAATTCTATATAACAGGTACAGTTGTGCTTTTAAGTTTATATTCCCTGGCAGAATTTATAATTTCTTGGCCATTTTTCAAAGAATATGAATGGTAAGAGAAAAAACTTTTCTTTCACTCATGCTTTGTGGTTGGGTAGAAGTCATTTATTTTCAAACAACTGTTTTGACTCTTTTAAAATCATAATGACAACAGAAACTATCCAAATAACCCTGATTAAAAGTTTACATACCCCTGTTCTTAATACTGATGTCCCCTTTAACATCAATGACAGCCTGAAGTATTTGTGGTAGTTGTGGATGAGGCTCTTTATTTCCTCAGATGGTAAAGCTGCCCAATCTTCTTGGCAAAAAGCCTCCAGTTCCTGTAAATTCCTGGGGTCTTGCATGAACTGCACGTTTGAGATCTCCCCAGAGTGGCTCAATCATATTGAGGTCAGGAGACTGAGATGGCCACTCCAGAACCTTCACTCTATTCTGCTGTAGCCAATGACAGGTCGACTTGGCCTTGTGTTTTGGATCATTGTCATGTTGAAACGTCCACGTACATCCCATGCGCAGCTTCCGCGCTGATGAGTACAGATTTTCCTCCAGTATTTTCTGATAACATATTGCATTCATGTTGCCATCAATTCTGACCAAGTTTCCTGTGCCTTTGTAGCTCACACATCCCCAAAACAGCAGCAATCCACCTCCGTGTTTCACAGTAGGAATGGTGTACCGTTCATCATAGGCCTTGTTGACTCCTCTACAAATGCAACATTTATGATTGTGGCCAAAAAGTTCAATTTTGGTCCAATCATTTCAAATGACTTTGTTCCAGACGTTTTGAGGCTTGTCTCTGCGCTGTTTGGCGTATTGTAAGCAGGATGCTTTGTGGCATTTGCATAGTAATGGCTTTCTTCTTTCTTCTTGACCATGCAGTCCATTTTTCTTCAAGTGCCTCCTCATTGTGCATCTTGATACAGCCACACCACCTTTTTTCAGAGAGTCCTGTATTTCAGCTGAAGTTATTTGTGGGTTTTTCTTTGCATCCCAAACAATTTTCTTGGCAGATGTGCCTGAAATTTTTGTTAGTCTACCTGACTGGGGTTTGATTTCAACAGAATCCCTCATTTTCCACTTCTTAATTAGAGTTTGAACACTGCTGATTGGCATTCTCAATTCACTGGATATCTTTTTATAACCCTTTCCTGTTTTATACAGTTCAATTACCTTTTTCCATAGATCCTTAGACAATTTTTTTTTGCTTTCCGCATGACTCAGAATCCAGAAACATCAGTGCAGCACTGGATGAAAGATGCAAGGATCTGTCAAGAGCCCAGAACCTCACTGATCCTTTATACACACACACACTGATTACAAGCAAACAGATCACAGGTGAGGATGGTTACCTTTAGTAGCCATTCAAACCTGTTTGTGTCAACTTGTGTGCATGTTATCAGGCCAAAATAACCAGGGTATGTAAACTTTTAATCAGGGTCATTTGGGTAGTTTCTGTTGTCATTATAATTTAAAAACAGTAACTACAATTGTTTGACAATAAATGGCTCCACTCAACCACTAACCATGAGTGAAAAAAAAGTTTTTTTCTGATCATTCATATTCTGTGAAAAATGGCCAAGAAATCCCAAAGTCTGCCATGGTATGTACAACTGTAGGTAACAAAATTCAGTCAGTACCCTGTGAACAAATGTATTCAAGGTTTACCACTAAGGGGCTTCACAGTCTGAGTTTTTCATGTCAAAGAGCAATCTCCTAGAGTTAGTCTTTTTAGAGCACATTTAACTTGTTTTGTCCCCTGTGTTTCCTTGCTGAGTTGCAGTAAGAGAACATAGGAAAAATGCAATAGATTTCACTATGTCAGAATACAGCAGCTTTTTCAGCTTTGGTTTGGGGTTATTTTTTAGTTTATTCACTTAAAAAATCTGCATATGTTTCCATACGACTGTATGTGTCAATACTGATTGCCTCGTCACACGACACTTTATGGTGACACTGAGTTGGTTCTTTGCAGCTGCAGTAATGCAGTTTTACTTAAGACCAGTAGAGCTTTTTTTTGCCTTACGAAGCATGATCTCCATTGTGTTGTATTGTAGCAGTGATAACTTACCAGTTCTTGTGTCTCAGAGCGGAAGAATGAATTTACACCAATGATGAAGGGGGTGGGAGTGCTCAGGACCTCCAGTAGTTTTCCCGGTAAGATTGGAACGTAGGTGAAACTGAGAAGACATAAAAGATAAAAAGTTTAATACATCAACAGCTGGCGGCTATGTTGACAGTGCTTTACTTTGCAAACACAAACACATCCACAATGATCTAAGTGACTGAAGAGCGATAACGCACCTGTATTTCAGGGGGAACATGATTGCCAGCAGTCCTCGGCAGGCATCTGTTAGTCTCTGGTAGCTGCTGGAAAGGAACAAGATCTTGTGCTCCGTCAGGGCAGCACAGAACAGATACAGCACGTTGACTATACCTGGGGGAGAACAGAGCACAAGACATTACTGGTCATCCAGAGGGCAGAACGAGGTTTGATAAAAGAAGGATTCTGGCAGTTAGACACCTAACAGATACGTTTATTTAACATTTATGAAGCCCTCAGGTGAAGAGCCCACTAGCTTTAAGTGCTCTCAGTGTATAGGTGTGAGGGACATAAATAAAAAGGTAACAGAAGTTGTCTTGCCACATATAAACAGCATCAGTTATCTGCTTTAACAAGGGAGTCAATCCTTAGCTTCAAACTTGATTATTTTACAAAACTGCTGGAATTTGAGACGCTCTTTGCTGTGGATCAAGATCAAGTTGTTGCCAAGCATTACAGTCTCTTCAGGATTATTGTAAAAAGCAGATTATTGTATTTATTACTCGATTTATCAGAAATATCACAATGACAAGTTTTAAAGATTTTTTTTCATTGATACAATAAACTATTATACTTGGTCATTTGTTTGTGTTTTCTTGAGTTGGCTATAATATTATAAGCATATAGTCCCTCATGTGTCTGCATATTTTATTGATTGCATTTAAATATTTCCCCAAAAACTGTATTGAAACAGGTGTGATTGTAGTGGGTTGTACTGTCACTGTCATTATGCAGTTTTGAGTTATTTCTATTGTGTAGTCTAACAGTTGTGATGCAGCAGCTTAATATGACCATCCAAATAAGGAAAACATCTAGTTAAAAAAGCAAAAATCATTACTGTCTGTACCAAGCTGTCTGAAGAGCTGGGCCACGCTGCTGCCGCTAACAGGAAGGGAGTCGTTGATGGGAGTCTGGATAACCTGCCGGTCGCCAGCGCCTAATGTTATAGTCCTCTACAGAGGAAAACAGAGGGAAAAAAGAAGGCTTTACCAGAGGTGAGAAAACCAGAGAACAAATGACGATTCTCAGAAAGTCTGTGTTTGATGGCGGGGTTTAATCACAGTTGTGTGTGTCCACAGAGCAGCGTGAGTCAGAGACAGAGTGATGGAGAATCCCAGCAGCTTAGCAGGAACATGACAAATAAAACACAAGCCATTCCAGCTGATCAGGATGTGAATGAGGCTGGGCAGGACTCCATGCCAACGACCTTACTGCAAAACAACACCAGCACTACCATATCAAAGAGCCTTTATGAGCCACAGAAACCCCACAGACATGGCAGGTGTCATGAGCAGAGAATTTTCCAATGTAGTCTAATGTGGAAAGCGACTAACAGGTGATTCTGTGTGGATAATTCACTTGAGCTGTAAAGTGTATCCAAGGATAAAGTCTAAATGTTTGACATTTAACTCTTATTTAAGTTGACTTGGAATCTGTAACAGTTGAAGTACAGAGTTTTTGTTGCAAGGCATTACAACAGCACAGACACTTATTTCAAGGATTAAATTCAATAAATGCAATCTGTGATTGCATTTTACTGTCTAATAACTGTGTCCTCCATTACAAATTACAAACTGACTAATAGAGAACGGGAAATCTACTGTGCTCTAGACAGAAGACAGAGCCAATGAATATTGATTTGTGTGTGGTTTGGACAACAAGCGCATCTGGGAGTGGAAACAGATGATTTTGACAACAAAATGATCAATGAATGCGTTGGGGCAAACAGCCACAAAGTACAACTAAGAATGCAGTAAAAGATGAGGCCGTCTGAAACTGAGGCGATTTCTGATATATTTCAAGTGTTTGGGGCTCATTTTTCTTTATGTAAACTTAACACAGACTACAAATCAAGCTCTAGATCTGGCCTGTCGACATGTCTGTGGAGGGCAGCTAGGAAAAAGTGCAGCATTATCTCGTGCTCTCCACAGCAGCAGCGATAGAGTCGGCAGCCACAGGTGAGCTGTTAGCAATTCAATACTGTAATCCAACATCTGATCATCAGGTGGGTTCAATTCAGTGTTTGGTTGGGGTTATACCAGCTGCTTCAAAGAAACTAGTGACACAAGTGTTCCTAACCATTGACCATTGACAGAGTACTTAATGTTCAATGATTTCTTGTGGCTGGAAGGCGTCTGGCTTCATCTGGTACCAGACTGTTGGCTTGTCTACTTGTTACAGAAGTAGACTAACTTTAAGGTTGGCAACACAAATTTAGAGTATATTTCAAGATGTCACGGAGCAGTTTGGATACCTATTGTGCAAAACACACACATTTTCTTGTCTAGAAGCTGAGTAAATGTGATTTCTGCTTCCAATAGACGTGTTGTTCCTCATTAAATGACATTAAATGCATCTACGGATGCTGCTTAAAGTACACACATCTCAAACTGCACTTTGTAATCAAAAATGTGCCACTTTTTTGTAGTTTTTTTTAATCAGCGCCACTGCTGTTACACAGAGAAAACAAACCATTGATCAAATTTCTTGACCATGACAACTGGGAAACGTAGTTTCGTATACATACGAAAACGTACATAAATGTATACTTTTAATTAGACCGACTGTCTGTATGTGAAATGATCAGTTGTTGGTCACATATTGAGTCCGTATCAAAGCGATTTGATTGGTTCTCCTGTCACAGGAGGTGTGCATGGATTTGCTGAAGGAAATGGGGCGGAGAAAAGGAAGCTTAGAAAGCTGAGAGCTGATTGGTAGTGAGGGGAGAATGAAGTCAGGCTGGCATACCAAACTCTCCTCTCTCTCCTCCTGGCCCGGCTACACAAGCACACACACACACACACACACACACAGACATATGCACACAGACACACGCACACAGACACACAAACACACACACCCCGATAAGACACAGGTTAGAAACAATAGGAGGGAGGACACAGAGTGCCCAAACTTGACAACAGTATGAAAGTCATGTATCAGCATGGCAAAACAAATAAGCTACACAGACAATAGCATCATAAACATGAACTGTAAGATGATGACTGCAAAAAAATACAGGACGAGTGCAACATCAGATATGACAAACGTGCAAACCAAAGTACAGCTATCACTTGACATTCAGCAGAACAGCAGCAATACATGACTAATTATTTTAACTGAAAATATACACAGCAATAATAGTACAAATTATGGTATGTTAAAATGTCATGTGTAACAACAATAACAGTGACAGAGGGGGGAGTAGTAGACAGTATACATTATTTTGACTCGGGTTTACTGCGGCACACACGCACGCACTACTAAGGTACAGAGGAGGGGCTGTATTCAGTACAAGCTTTGTTTTTGTTTTGTTAGATACTAGAAGTTATAATGGATCTTTAGGCCTCTGAACTCCACGCAGCGTCTGAGTGTATTTTGCTCCCGTCACATTGTTCTTCACTGTGTTCACTGCAATATGATGTAATACACCTCTATGGAAACAACACAACCATAGCTGCGAGTAGAGAGAACTCAGAAGTGCCTTCTGTAGAGTACACTAAAGTTATAAGTTCAGATGGAAAGTCCCTGACTTTTGCAAGGTGAATGTTAGTTGCAGCTAAGTGAGCAACAGCTTCTCAATGGCACCAAGGAATGCAGAATTTTTTGATTTTTACAGAATCTAGTTACAATAAACACTTTATTTTTGGCAAATTTCTTTCATATATTACATTCAAGAATGTCAGAAAGTTAAGAATCTGAGGATTCTACCTGCTTGTGCTTTAATAAATAGTGCAAATTTTAACATTTTTTTTATTTTTATTTTTTATCATTCTGGGGTTTCAGATGGTAAAGAAGCTACTAAATGAGCTCTATCAATTCCCTATATCCTTGCATGGTTTTGAAATTCCACTCTAACAGTAACACAGGCCAGTATGGGGATTTCTAAAGCTGAGATATTGTAATTTCAAAATTGAAAACATCTGACCATGGTTTAACATTTTCCAACACCATATGACTGGTTTAAACCATAACAGGTAATCAAACTGATACTTGAAACAGCAGAGTTCCTACACTGAAACTAACTTATAGCCTTAAACTCACTGACACACCACTATCCATCCATCCATTATCTATACACCGCTTAGACCTCACTAGGGTCGTGGGGGGGGTGGAGTCTATCCCAGCTGACTTAGGGTGAAGGCAGGGGACACCCTGGACAGGTAACCAGTCTATCACAGGGCTACACTTACAGACAGACAACCAAGCACACTCACATTCACACCTACGGACAATTTAGAATCACCAATTAACCTCAGCATGTTTCTGGACTGTGGGAGGAAGCTGGAGAACCCGGAGAGAACCCACGCTGCACGGGGAGAACATGGAGACTCCACGCAGAAAGATCCCGGGTGTCCTCACCAGGACGCGAACCGGCAACCTTCTTGCTGTGAGGCAACGGTGCTAACCACCAAGCCACCCTGCAGCCCCGACACACCTCTATGATAAAGGTTAAAGAAAAACTGAACTTCACAGGCCATGATGAGAACACACACGTGACACCTCATGATAGTGTGACAAAAAGAAGCCAATGACCTCCAGCAGAGCAACGTGTGCAACCTTCCGTTTGAAGTGGATTTTCTCTCATGCCTTAATATTGACTTTAAGTTCTTTGGTGTCACTTCTAAATCTAACTCTGTCAGTCAGAGCACTTGGCAGTGTGAGACAGCGTGGAGAAACAGAGATGGGAATTCCCTGTTCCTGGAATCACTTCAGTTCCTTTCAGAGGCACAATTGTACATGTTCCTGTAACAGCTCAATATCTACTAGATGAGCACTTGACTTTGTTCCAGACTAAACAGAAGTTGTCTACCAGCATGGGGAAATCTCACACTATCTCACATATACTCACACACAGGGAGGTCAGAGGTCAGGATCATGAATGACTGCGAGGATTTAGTACATTAATCAAGAGGACTGTGACAGAAAGGATGCATAAAAACCCATCGGTTTGTCTCTTTACTATGGTATGGTCTTACTAACCACAAGGTCACCCTGCTGCTCTACTTCAGAATGTCACACATCAAGCCAACAGCCTTGGGGCTGTGTAAACTACTCAGATAAATGACTGGAAGTTGTAACTTCCAACCAGTCAACCTGTCTTAGTCACACACTTGTTTTTTTATAAGCTAAACTGTCGCGCTGCCATGCACAGGAACCATTTCTTTTTTAACAAATGTGGAAAGTTTGTTCCATGTGGTAAAAGACTGCCCAAGATTAGATGCCGATAGCCATTAATAGAGACTATGAATGTTGCTCACAAAATGAAATGCTAAGTTACCTTGGTAATGCTGGGTTACTATAGGAGGTAAACCAGTTAGCATGTGCAGCTTACATTGAAGCAGACAAACACACTGCTAAATTCAATCATTACAGTCACAACAGCTCCACACACAACTCCAGCACGTGAGGAGACACAGACCTTGACAGATCTGTTGCTAAGCTATGATTAGACAGTTGCTGTTCAGGGGAGGGGTTTGCTAAACAGCTGAGATCAAAACATTTTACAATTCAAATTTAGAACTGCTTGTAAGCCTGTTTAAACACACATTTTTGCTCTAATGTCACATCTGACTTTAGTAGAGACTTACTTACTCTCTCTCGCACGCACGCGCGCGCGCACACACACTCACACGCACGCGCACGCGCACGCACACACACACACACACAC